TGATGATGATGATGATGATGATGATGATGGGACACTCCCCATCCTTCATTCAGTCACTGTAAGCGTGACAATCGAACTTTCTCGATAGCCGTTTGTATGTTGTATGCTAATTAATTTTTCTGACGGACTTTCGTTTCAGCTGCACTGACGGCTTGATGAACGTGGGCCGATCAATACAACTAGAAACTGAGGATAAAGCAGCATTCGAATAGATGCTTGACAAGACGACTGTTTATGCCAAATGTATCTATTGTGTTTTACTCGTCTTTTTGACGAAGTACCTCTTTCTGATCAGATTTACCATCATGAAAGGTATTACATCAGTTGCTGATGCTAAATTACAAAGCAGATTAACAATCGCCGGATGGAGTGATAGAGGATGCAAGCGATGTTAATGACGAAGGATTGAAGACAGCAGCGATAATGGGGTTTAATGCACCCTCTCCAATGTGTGCGTCAGATGAAGAGCCAAAGATGATGTCATCAAATGACAGACAATGTGATGTAAGGATAATATTTGCGGCTTAACTCAGCCCGTTGTGAGCCAGCATCCTCCCAGTATGCGAAAGCCGGAACCATTAGTATCTCCAAGCTGTTAGTTCGCCTGAAACTTCAAACTGCAAGACAACCATCATCAGTATAAGACTACTGGAATGTTTCCAGTTGTAATGGACAGGCTGTCATGCCTGTTCCATGCACAACCTAAACGACCAAGGGTCTGTTTTATCTAACCTAGACGTAACCACTAACTTAGGACCCGAACCTCAGAGGATTTTAATTCCTGAGCTAAACGAAACTATCTTCACCGATTATGTCACAGATTTTTCGGAGTAAATGAGTGATCAGTTTATGAGAATTCGTAACCTAATGTGAGACATAAAACTCAGCTCTGTTCCTCATCTAAACCAAGCCTCACTGACTTTCAGATTTTTCTAACTTGTTATTTTTTGTCTTATAGAGCACACGGGGGCGTTTAGCTACAAATGTCACCTGAAACAAAGTAGAAAATTACATCCGTTCAGTTTTAATTAGATTATTATCAAGTTAGTTTATTGGTACCACTCGATAGCGAGATAGACATTGTCAGATTTGGCGAAATTCGCTAACGTCATTTCCAACGCTCAATCTTGCAACCTTAATTACGTGACACCAAAGGTTTTACTTGAACTTGACTGTACATGCGGCTGTTGCACTTTATAGTGGATAGTCACAAATACGACTGTAACGTAACCGCTCAATGTCACTCCGAGCTTTGGGATACCACAGCTTGATGCTAATTTAAATCCGGCAATGTGATAGAATTGGCAGTGTCGCCAATCAGACCAGATAAGTGTAGTGCGGCCGTCCGATTCAAAACACATGTTACTGATCAAAATTGTGCTCATTACGGTGTGAAAATTCAAATACTCTTCTCAAAAAATGTGCTTACTCACCACTCCAAGATACAGGCCAAATGCAACACAAAACCACATGACGTAGCGCTAATCACGTCACATGTACAATGGCTGAATGTGGGGTTTTATAAGCAAGGTGAGGAATTCAACTGCGTAGTTCAGATAATAGTACAATTACAAGAAGTATGGTGCTGATGAACATTCCCTCGCCATAATCTCAGCCCTACATGCCATCGGTTGTGATATCGACTTTTTGGTTCACCAACCGGTGATCATCTCTTATCGAGGGATCTGCTTTCCTCAATCCGCTAAGGCTGTTATTGGACTGGGACTTCCTAAGGTCGCAGTCAGTGACTTGTGTTTGCTTGCCATTGTGGGCTCCCTGCGTACTTATGACACTTTTATGCGTGGCACATGGCGTTGAAGGTACATTTTTGCCATTTACTCTCACCCAGACCCAGTATGACGGACACTTTGTGCCTGATGTGCGAGTCTTGACTGTGCTAGCGCATACTGCGCCTTGAAGAGCATTCACCATTGTTTGTCCTTTCTTTGGTTGTTAGTCTTTAGACGCCTGTTCCCATACCAAAATCTTTACATGCTTTGGGATTCACCTCACCAGACTGGCACTGTCCTTGGCATGATTTCGAGTGAGACGTTTCTCTCTTTTCTCCCATATTTTCCTGTTACTCTTTCGCATTCATTGCTTGCATTCACTTTTTGTTTGTGACCATGCTCTTCAAAAATAAATGATAATAACTGAAGTACTAGTGTTGTAGGAACTCCTACTTGTATGCTCACAATGAGTCGGTTAGAACCTAAAATATTGGTGAATTTCATCAAACGGCGACTTAATTGCATGAGTTAGCTGGGTGCATGTGAAATGGTCGATCAATGGGCTATCACAAAAAAGCATCGCAGAACTGAGGACTGCAATGTACTACCGGCTAAACTATCAAAGATAGTATATTTAGAATAGCACTCTAGGATTCGTTGGAACACGTCCAACGTGTTCAAGGTTTTACAGGTTAAACTAATGCACCAAAAGTTTAGTTATCATGTACAGAGGATGGGAGGGTGTTGTTCTGCAGAAATTCGTAAACCGCCACGTTTATTTTACTACTTAGTTTCTCCGTAATAGTTTGACCAGCGAATCACCAAACGGTTACGGTGCACCCATATTAGCCGATTCTGGTGTAAGGCATTTGAACCTACAATACACTTGTCCTTAGCGCATCGGCCAACCTGCATCGCTAAAACTGATCCACTCTCTATCTACCACTCATGGCGACATCCTTGGAAATGGGCTTAGTTCCGCAAATATGGGGTTTCAGCCGTGAGGCTGTTACCTAAGTTTTCGTGACCTCGGAAAACATGGTTTATTGTAACAAGCTAATTGTCCTGTATATGCAAAGGGATTCCACACCTAGGAATTTCGGATATTGCGAAATCTGGGTTGAAATTTCGATAACACCGGAATGAAGCGCGTTGCGATATAGGAGAAATTTGGCTGCTATAAGTTTGCTTGGCATTGTATATTGAAGTCCTCAGATATGACGTTGCACGACGATTACGTTTCGGAAAGGGGGAAAAACCCGGAAGTATAGTTTATTTGCTTCTGAAGTTCGTCACTTACGCCTATTTCCATCATAAGAACTCCTCACATTGCCTTAAGCGTCTATAATGTATCCATCAATAAACGCAGCTTTTTGCACGTTTCAAACAAGAGATCGTTCAAAATGTTTGGACACTTTTCAAGGAAGAGAACGGATGTGGCGTCAATAAGACAAGGTCAACAATAATTGAGGAAACATTCTTTGAATGTATGAAATCGGAGAGATTCAACACGGAACACACTGAGGGATGTAATGTCAGTGATCTCTGAAAGACACTTAGATGTCCTTATGATGAAGAGCTGGTATCAGATGTAAAATTCCACAAACTGCCTGGAAAACAGCCATATGTACGACTAAATGGTGTTTAAAAAGTCATACCTGGTTATCCGCTGAAGGACAAGATTTTAGTTATATTCTCTACCCAAGTGCCTAATTCCGAAAATTAAAGTGCCGAATTTCTATCGGAACTCATCCGAAGAGTACCGGGGTGGGTGTGCAAAAATGACAATACTAAAAGTCCATGGAGTGTTCCACATGCTGCTCTCAAGAATCCCGGACAGAAACATGAACAGAGGAGATGTGTCACTTACATTTATCTCCATGACGAAACGCGGTCTCAATGGACTGTGTAATAGTACATGAAGAAGACTAACAGCAAATCAACACTTTACAATGTTCACATAAGACAACCACAAATCAAACTCCTGTGAAGTCACCAGCCTCTAGGAGAATAACAAAAAATTAGATTAAATTTATTTTCCGTTTGCTGTCTCTCCATAATACTCTGGAACCGTAAGATGTTCTTGATTTTGTTTAGATCCACCCTACTCTCGTTTGAACGGTCAGCCTCCTGTTCTGGCGTAATTATTCTGGTGAGTCCACACCAAAGGGAAGCACCGGACTCGAGTTTCTCTCTTATTAGAGCTCATCAGTAGTACTTACTTTGTGGCCGTGCCATGATTTGATACCCGGATATCTGACGTGCGAGACGAGCGTGCTAACACTACCCCACCAACGCACGTTGAACGTTTGAACAGTCCAACGTGTTCATGCTTCATTTCTTCCAGATTATTACACCTATTAAATCAAGCTTCACAAATTACTACCATGGCACTACGTTGCGGTGAACCTTTCTTAAGTTTCAGTGAGGTAGGTTACTTGCGTTGTCACCGACTAGGTATATCTCAAAAGCCGCAATAAAAACATTGTCAATGGAAGAATCACAAAACGCTTTTCGGGTCACCAAGTGAACGCGTCTGCTCTTCAAACATACAATTTTTCAGACTACTCATTCACTTTAAGTAGCTAAAAAGAGCTCGCAACTAAACTCAATCGACTGTCGGCTGCCCCAGACCACCACGCCTGATATTGTCTGCATTGTTCAGAGAACTTGTATGTAATCACGCTCAGCTGATCGCAGGAATGCGGTAGTGGCAGTGAATTCATTTTTTAGGTGAGTCTGGTAAGATGTTCATGATAGATGAGTTAAACCCTGGAGAGCGAACTATGTGTGGAGAAACATTGCACTAGCAAATATCGTACGTACGAATAAGCGTCAACTCATTTTCCAAGGATGGGACAACTGTGAGCCAATATCAGTCGAAATTTGATTTATCCGGACGTGTTCTGGGTGTTCCGTGAAATTGGCCTCTTTGGTTCAGCCGCTTATTGTAGATATTTTCGAGGCACCGAGTTTTCTCGTTTGCTTTATTCCTGGATATCGGATGAGTAGTCCTTCAGCACAAATGCAAACTTATATGGCAATAAGCATTGACTATACATCTATTGGACAAGTCGCGGTAATGAACAATGCATCACCAACAACCTGTTGGGTGTTCTAGCAAATGAGTGATGGCAGCTAAGCTGGTATCGTGGTTCGAGTCTTTATTTCCCCCATTTTGATATTGCTGAACGAAGACAAGTGAAGACAACAGAAAAGTAGCAGGCTTATTGCTTCTTAGGTGTCTCGTAGACGGTTGTTGCATGTGTTGCCGCACAGAGTTTTGCTACGTAAGGCCAAGAGAATAATTATTGCATTAACAGAGTGAAGAGCCTTAAACACTTCAAGACGCGAGACCACTACGGTAACCGCAAAGGCGGATAGGGGTAAGAGCATGGTTGTTATGAACAAGAATAAGTGTCTGCAGAAAGTTTGGCAAAACCTAGCAGATGAGCCTAACCGACAGGTTAGCATATGGCTGATTACGTTAGCAGTTAATAAACTTAAGGTTGAAGTTGAAAGGTATTCAAGATCCGTACCAAATAACTTGGGATAGGACAAATGGAATCGATTACACCTGAAAAAGTGCCATCCAACCACGACTTCATGGGATACCTAAAATTAACAAGTTAGGTGTCCCCATAAAACCAATAGTGAATGGCATAGGTAAACCACCACATGAGCTGAGCAGATTTCTGGCAGATATTCTTAAGCTACTTTCCGGCAAGTTATCTACACACGCCCGAATTTCGTATGACTTCAAAAAAAGCAGCTAAGTTTCCGTTAGACCTGGAGGAAGTCCTCATTAATTTCGATGTCAACCGGGTGATTACGAATGCCCCCTAACGCGGACACCCAGCTCCTCCAGCTTCATCCGTTAATTTACACACAGTCCTTATGATGGAAGTCATAAAAGCTGTGGAATTCCTTTCAAAATTTCGTTTCCATGCTCTTTCAGGTAATTTTTTGAAACTAAAAGCTGTGATAATCAGCGTACAAAATAATTGTAAAAGCGAAACGGTCAAATAGTATAGGATCATTGGAGGATCATTGAAATAGAGTTTCGGTATGGACTTCTGAAAGATGATGAGATTTGCGCTAACCATCTTCTTCCAAACTAACTCCTTGTTTATGAGAGACTCAGCCCAAATCCACTTGAACCACTCTTTCGCAAAATTCTTCACCTGAACGTGCTACGCACAAGCCCTCTTATAACTCGGTTGTAACTACATTCAGCATATCGAATTATTCGCTACAGAAATGGTTTGTGGTTTGGAATGACCACTATTTCAGTCGTCCAAATTAACTGTATCCTTGTTGGGCGGAGTGACTTCCTTTGGCACCATCACCAAATGGCACCGGTGCCAAAATTAAATATTTTCTTCTCGCTCAACAAAGAAGGCATATTTAGACAGTTGCTTTGAGAGTTCCATACGAAGTGGGGTTTACGGGGATAGGTCACAGATGACTGATGATGAGTGGAATGTTGGCGCAGCAACAACACCTCCGCCCATCCATTGTTCAAACTCAAGAGAAACAAGTACTTGTCGCATCGATATATGGCGAGGATAGACGACCAAACCGTAACGGGCAAACCGTGGTTCGCTGTACTTTGAGATGTGGCGGAATTCTAATACAGAACCACGCATTACAGCTGACTCAGCGCTCTCGCTGGCTACTTCTTCATGAAACGGTCATCCTCTCGTTCTATACAAGTTGAGTGAACAATATAAACAAGAACGATCGAAGCAAACCTTGAGAAACCCAATGTGAAGTGCTTTAATCCGTCACGAAGAGACTGGACCTTACCGTGGTGTGGCGGTTTGCGCACCTCAGCGATCCATTGAGCTATACTGGAGAGTGTCTCGCGACACTCACAAAGTCTCTCGTACCAGGTTGGTCAATGGTTAGAGGTCTGACGAACACAGTCTCCTGGCCCTCCAGGTTGGGGGTTGGAACAAGTGGCGACTTGCTCCGTAGAAATGGTAATGCAATTGCATTTCTCGCCAAGCACCGCTGCCTTGCGGTTAGGCTTTTGAGCCAAAGGCTTTGGTTGGGGACCCTAATCGTCCTCCTGTCTAAGTGTGG